CATAATCTCAATGGCATGGCTATTAACTCAATCATCTATTTAAAATACATAGCAAGTGGATAAATAAGATGCAAATCATCTTTTTTTGATTTTTGATTGTAATTGGCATTCAATGCATGAAGCCACAAAATCTTCTATATCTTTGTAGAAATCTTTCTATCAACATTTTTCTTTAATTTTATCATAGATGGTCCTAACTCCTTTGTGGCAAATTTAAAGTGTGTCATAAAACTCTTTGAAAATTTAATTCTTTATTTTTGCATCATCCACTATTATCAATAATAGAACATATTTTTTCTTTGGCTTCTACTACGAGAAACTATCTCTCAAAAAATAGCCATAGGATAGGTATCTAATGTCTTTAAAAGCTTTATCTAACCAGCCTTCTTTTCTCCACATTGTATTAAAATAGATGCTAATGTCTCTCAACTTGCTTCTATAAAGATCTTCTTTCAAATGATGATCTTTACTATTTATATTTATTCTATTAATAGCTAGTATATAGCTATAATCCTTATCTTCATCATCTTTACCAATCTCTTATGCCTTTATTTCTTCTTCACAAATATATCTAGGTCTAAATAATATATTTGTCATAATATTTATCTTGCTAAAAACATATATCAATATAGAATTGAGTGATCTAATGTAGGCTATATACCTCAACATAATAATATCAAGAATAGAATAGTTGATAATCATATCTAACAATCATAAGCAATCAATTTCTAATACCACATTGATTCCAATTAAGTAACCTATGTTTGCCTTTATACCTATAAGCACTCTAAAAGCTCTTTCTTTACTTGTACATATGCTCTTTATCTATTTGTAAGAATTCTTGCTTCAAACTTGATGACAAATCTTCTTGCTTCTACATCATCTTAACTAATAGCCTAACCAATAGCAATTAGACTTGTGTCAATAGTAACAATGATTGATTTGCTTCAATCATAGTCAACTTGCCTTAAGATTAGTAGTGACTTCAAAATCTCTTTTAGATCTTCTATGTTTAGTTTTTATTTTTAATTCTATCTAAAATTAGTCTTTTTTTCAAACAAATTATATAATGACTCAGCTATATAAGTAAAGTTAGGAATCCAAATCTGATAGAAGATACAAGCTCCTAAAACTTTTCTTATTTTAGTGATGCTACTACATGCCTTTATCTTAGCAGTAGCATCAACCTCTTCAAAATTAGATTTTCTATCATACTTCTTACATAATTATTCAAGCACTATAATTTTATTTATTCTAAATTTAGACTTATTAATGGACAAGATTAGATCCACCTCTTTAAGCCTCTTCAAAATCTTCTCTATATCTTTAATGTAATTCTTCACAAATATTTTTCTTAATTGATTACATGCTTTAGATGGACCTCAAAGTTTCAAACTTCTTTGGCATTATGAACCATTGATTAGAATATAGAGCCATAGATGGTTTAAGTATCTCTATTTCAATAGATTCACTAATTTAGATAATAAGGCTTTTGATACAAAAATTAGCTTTAACTTCTATTATACATGTGAAAAAATAAAAATGACTATTGGTGCAACAATCTTTGAATTAATACATTCAATCTTATTTAGTGAAGGAACAAAAATCTTATGATATCTAAAAATTATTTTTTAGAATCATTTTTTAGATTTTTTAAAAAATTCACCTCCTCCAATATTTACTTTAGATAATATCTCCTCTATAAAATTGTATCCAATTTTTCTTATCTCTTTCAATTCAAGTTCTTCTTTAGCATTTTAAATATAATCTCTAGAATTCGAAGGCAATTGTATTGCTACCAACTTTACCTTCTTTGCTACAATCTTATATTTAGTATTAATTATTGTTTCAATTTTTAATCCATAACTTCTAATCAACCTTGCTTTAATAGCTATCTTTAATATTTCTTCATATAAATTTTTTAAGTGAATCTCTACCATTACATCAGTAGATATAGTAACCTTTCTTTGCGAAGTCTCTAAAACTTATAAAATATCATTTATAAATTCTTCTTCTTCAATAATTTCAAAAATAAATTCATCACTCAAAATCACACCAATTCTTTTTAATTTTCTTTAAATCTTCTTAATTGATTTTCTATACTAAGGATCAAAATCTTTAATCTTTTGAAAACTCACAAATCCATCTTTTATTAAATTCCAAATCAACTATTGAAGCATGCTATAATAGTTGATTTTTTTGCACCTATGGCATGCCATATTCTATGTATGTAATCTAAAATCTAAAAATCATCATACTCATGATTTATAGAAGTTTCTCTAAGTTGATCTCAATATTGCTCACGATCTAGCCTTATTATTAAAAATTGCACTAATCTTTTACTATCATGGCTACATTTCCTACAATAATATGAGCTATCATTTAATACTTTAGTTTTCATTTTTTTTACAGATATATGACTATTCCAAAATGATTGGATAATTTCCTTGATTTTATACAAATAATTTTTATTCTACTTCCACATTACTAATTTTAATATCTACTATTGAACATGTTCTATAAAGGTTGTCTTTTTATTATTAATAGCTCTTAATATCCATCCATGGTTGGTGTCAATTGGCTATTTTTCCTTTTTATAAACCTTTCTAAATAAGATATTGATCTTAGAACTATAATCCACCAAAACTAAAATTAGCTCTTTAAACCTCAAATCTTTATATATTGTCAAAAGGGTAAGCCTCCGTATGAGAATACAGGGTCCTTGATTGCAATTGGATTATAAAAAGCACAATGTTACTCATATGAATTCAAATATAATAGAGTATTCCAAAGGCTAAGTTTAAATTTTAGATTAATTTCTTTTTTGTATCTAGATGCATCCAACTCCTAATTCTAATCTCAAATATAAATCTCTTCTTATTAAAATATCTATAAATTATTTATTATTAATTTGATCTAAGAAAATCTTAGCTCATTCAACTTAATTCAAGCTATAAATTTTAAAATGTGAAAATTAACAAACAAAATTTTAAAAAATTGAGAGCCAAACTAAGAAAAATATTAGCTACTTATAATAGTTATAGACTTTAAAAGCCTTGTCCACAAATTAGTTAGAATCTCTCTTATCACCACTCCATTTCTTGCATGCTAAAGCTTATTGGAAAGCTAATAATAAGATTTATTTATTTTTTCAAATCTCAATATATATTTAAAAAAAAAAAAAAAAAAAAAAGATCCAATTAATGGCTCAAAAATTCCATCTAAAGATACAATTTTATATTCCAAATTCCACTCAAATTTATAAATATATTATTATTATATTCCTTTCTCTCTTACAAGTAAAATTAATTACTTTACAAACATCTTTGATGTACTTAAATGAAGTCCATCACAACAATATTGTTGTATAGTAACATGACTATATAGTGAAAAATAAAAATATGGATGTTATTATAGAAGATCCTAATAGAAAGATGTAATAGAAAAATAAAGATAAATTATAGAAAGATAGTAAAAGATTTAGTTTTAATGCTACTTTTTATAGAAGGAACTTCTATTAACTTTGTAGAGGCATAAATGAGCCAAATAAAAATAAATGAGATAAAAAATTAATATAGACATGTTTAAAAAATAATTAAAAATAAATTATAGAAAAAATTACCTTAAATTACTAAATATTGATATTTGAAGAAGACCAATTGTCAACTAGGATTGAAATCAGATCTTAAGGCACAAAACTACTCTTATATAGCAACTTTAGGATTTTTTTTAGATTGAAGAATAGAAATTTAAGAATAAACTAGAATAGAGATTTTTAAGCATTAGTTTCATGTCATTTGAATCAATATTGAGATTTTGAGGAATTTTTAAAGTTAATGATATTCTTGGTATGATGAAGATTTAAGAAATAAAAATATATTTATAAATATGTGAATGTGTATGCAAATTTTGAAGTCAATGGAATAATTAGATTGAAGTATATGAGAGTTTTTGTAGGTTGAGGTCTCAAAAATTGGAGTTTGAGGGTCAATTAATGTTTTTAAGATCTTCAGCAATATGTCAATTGGATTGAAGTGATTTTTTATATATATAAATATTAGACTTGATTTTCAAACTTTAGATGAAATTTGAGAGCAATTCAATGGTTTAAGAAGGAGATATTGGCACTAGAAGTTCAGCATTTAGGTTAGAATAGGAGACCTCCAATATTTGATTAGATTATCTTGTATTTCTTTCAAATGGTAAGTGCAATCAATTTCATTTTTCTTGTGCTTGTTTTTGACTAAGGTATTAAAAAAGGTGCAAATTTTGAGTTTATATCAATGATTCAATCATTAGTTGTTGAGGTTTCAATCTACTATAGGATTTGTTAAGAGTTTGTGTAAGATTTAGAGTTTGATTGGGATTTGCTTGGGAATTCATTTAGGATTTGTTTAGGGTTTAGGATTTCTTAGGATTTCATTAAGATTTGACCTAAGATTTGGTTAAGATTTAATTAGGGTTTTTATTAGAATTTGTACAAAGACATAGTTGCTACACAAAACCATTAATTTGCATACATAATAACCAATTCAAATATTTAATTGTAGTCTCCACTAATTTTATACAAATCTGATTTTAATAATAAGACCAAATATAAATATTCCATCAATATAAGCCTTTCATGATTTGTCACACATATATCATTTACCAAAATGAACACCAATATGTTGTTACAAGAAGTTGCTATAATAATGGCATTGAGAACAGTACTGCTGATCAAAAAGGACCATAAGTTGTAACCCTTCATGTCACTTGTGAATTTTTCAAAAAGATAAGTTTTTTTCTTGGTGTATTGCAAAGACCACTGTTTGTGTGTCAATCCTACTTTCATCCACTAGCCATTGATTGGTTACTCTCCATTTTTTTTCTGGTTTTTTCTTCCTTTGACTTCCTCAAGTATAAACAAAGCGAAATTCCAAAGGATTTCTCAGTGACTGCGGGAACCACAAGCATCCACTTGGACCAATGACCTGATTAAGAAACCACCTGAGAAATAGTTAAAGAAAATGTTTTGGGTGGATGGACACATGCTCCCTCCATTTCCTTATTTCGCATACAACTGTGTACGTTGTCTGCGGGCCAGCTCGATTTGAACTACAATGTTATTCTATACTGAATAACTGGGTTGATCCTTTGATCCTCCGTTTCCTCGGATGCTAGAAAACACTTCTAGGAAAGCGGCTCCACAATGTATTTATGGAACAGGAAAGATCACCTAATAAATCTCGGAAAGGAAAGAGACATATGTATTTAGTTTCATGTTCTATTTTTTGGAACATGTGACAATGCGTTGAAAACTAACGACGATAATTGACTCAGAAGCAACGTCTTCATTATACAACCCATATAGCAACATATTGCGTGATAATCAAAGGAGCTCTCGTATCACAAGCATGTCAGAAACTCTATGCCGCATCGTTTTTGCAGGTTGATTTGGGCAAATGCATCCGTCGGTTTCACCAGGGCGTCTAAATCTGTGAATTGATAAGTGCAATTATCAAGACCTCCCCGACGTTGTGTGTGTTCGTGTGAGCACATTCGAGGGGTAGCTTCTTGGATCTCTGAGTTGCCCGACAGGACTTCGACGACTACCTTTTTCCATTCTGTTTGGAGACTTTTTCTAATTTTCTCATAGGTCGCTGTAACATCACCAGCATGCCTCAACAAATTCAAGACCAGCCCATTAGATGATAAATAATCAATCGGTTTCTCTTCTTCATGGGCCTCTTCATCAGTTATCGCAGAATCTTCTTTAACGGCACTAAGGTTCATGGACTAAGACTTCCTGAGGACTTTGAGTTCTCCATGTAATATAATATATTTGCGATTGAACTGGAAATGCAATGAAATCTCTCAGAAAAATGGCCTACCGTGAGACACCTTTGGCAAAATGAGTCTCATGGCTGCATAAATTAAGCAATGGAATTATTCAGTATGATTTTGATATGCCTTTGTTAGAAGGGGTGAGTACTTCAATGAATACGAGAGGGTCTGCAAAGGGATGATGATATTGGTTTACCTTGTGTGAGATTATGAGAAACAGAATTTCCTCGAGTACTATCCGCTCCTTGCGCCTTAGGATTGCCAGACCTCCGCTTTCCAGGGTCAGACCAAGACCGTGACGCCTATTTTCTTAAGTTTGTGGAATGCTTTATGAAATACATTCCTGTGGTCATTTCCTCGATAAAATTTCAATCCAGTGCCTTGCATAACTCAGTTTAAGTGCTACATGCTTCGCGCACTCCATAGACTCACACGCAGCGCTCCACCTTGCCGCAAACGAACTGGCTCAACACATGAAGGTTCACCTTCGATAAGCAAGCTCAAGGATCTTGCAATAGAGGCTCAGGCAATTATTAGCATAAGAGTACAATTTCCTCTTGGATGTGCGAAAATTCTATATTGTACACTAATGTAGTTGCACAGATATAACGGATATATAAATCTTACGCTGTTGTAACCAGTTGCACTCGGACGATTGACGTCTCGCGACAAAACATTAAGGAATAAGACAAGTGAACCCATATTGTGAACCAAGGAAAGCCAATGCAAAAGGTTTCGACACCAATGGCCGTGATTTTGTTACTGCTTTTGCCAACTACAAATTAGTTACATCGTGGAAAAATGATACTTTAATTTGCCGTTGTGGAGTACCTGTAACGTTAATTTGCACGGGTTCCAGCTTCTGCATGTCAACCTTATCTGTCTTTCCGGTTGATTCGCACAAGTTCAATGGACTGCCTTTCGACTCTTGAAGTCAAATCACGCTTTGCGAAATTTTCGGCTAGCATTTGCGGACGGATAAACAAGTAGGAAAGAAAATGCCGTCATGACCATTGTGCCGTTTACCGAAGAATTAGATCTGCGACGATTGAGCTTTGCCACACTCGTCACCGGCTTTCTGGCAACACTGTCGTCCACATCAGTATACTAGTTACAATCTGACATTTTCTGTGTGCAATGTACATCACAAAAAAGAACTCAGACGAAAACCAGCGCTGAATAGTTAACATATTGAATTAAAACTTTCATCGTCACGGCGACTAGAGAACATTCAATTTTCATTCTCTCGGAATGTTTACTTGCCATCCATATATGTATCCACACATTTTGAACCGAAAACATTGGTTATTTTCAATACCAAGACTTCCGTCGCCCAAAAATCTATAACCATCGTACGACGAGGTTTTCATTGGCCAGCAGACAGTGTGTGTCCAAACGCTGGAGCTTGATTCAAGGAACATCTCATGAGTGGTGCAGTTTGCTTCTTTATCCCGACAGGATGGTGGAGACTTGCTTGCCACGCGTACTACCCCACCTGGAGAATTGTGCTCTGTATGATTGGAGCGTGCTTCAAAGTCGGTTCTATTCAAATATTCCTGTTGTCCGCATTCATAGCCTTCGTTTACAGCAAAGGACAATCCAACACACAACACTTCTCTTCCCTCACATTGTGCTTCCCCTGCACGGATACAACATTCTTTTCAGGGTCCGAGATGTCGTGGTCGGCGTCGGCCGGCCAAGGAAAGCCCAAGTGCAATGCAACACCAAAAGGATGGAAACCACGGCACACTCTAACTGGCGCAAAAGGGGTTTAAATCATTTATTACGATCTTAGATGGGGCTTTCGGCAATGCAGTGGGTCCGGACCGTCAAAACTCCACCGCCCAAAGTGGCCGCTTCGTCGTCAGTCTACAGCGCTGCTGCAGAGTGGTGCGACGACGGGACATGGTGAGCCATGGGCTCGGCTGTGCAGGAACAACAAATGCAGCCACGAAAAGGAGCAACCTCCGAGACCCGCTGCGCAACTGGGCATCGTGTGGACAGCGTGGCGCGTGACGTGGCGTGGGTCTATGCCACGGATAAGACCACGTCGATTTTTGTTTTTCATGGCGATGTATTTCCTGCGTGGAGGCTCGAGCACGCGCTGCTGTCAGTTCAGCCTGGAAGTAGTTCCTTGAAGTCCAGTTTATATCTCTTTTTCGAAATAATAATAGTTTTTTTCAAAAAAGAATAAAATAATAAAAAGTAATGGGAATATTCTTGTGAACTATGGGTAACCTGGAGGTTGTCAAAGTTGCATACTAGCCTTTAGATGATTTTGAGCGAGTGGCAGAAGTCTGGTAGGCACAGAATGCAGATATTAATTGGGCATTCTACTGTTTAGAGGAGTATGGTGGAACCTTGTGCTGGAGACTGTTATCCAAATCCATTTTCTTTCTTATTTTTCATTCAAGGTCACTTCATTTTACTAAAGAGTTATGTATTCCACCATCTCAAATCTTTCAACCCAACATGTAGCTTTAATGTCTGCTGTATTGGTTGATTTTTTGTGTTTGGAAAGTAGATTTTAGGGAATTCCAGTTACTACTTTAGGATCCAAATTTTGAGCCGAGTACAACTCTTAGTGTCCTCAAGCTTCATTTGGGCACTAAGTGTGCTTGGTTGTAACTCCTAATACAAAGTGGCCCAAGTTGTAGAAATCATCCTATGTTTAAGGCAAAGAGTGTTCAACAATGCGAATGTACTGCGGACGGAGACCAATCACGAGATTTCATAATAAAGAGGAATTCCAGGTACCAAGGCCCAGAATTAGAGGGCTACTTTTGCCAACAAGCACCTCATTCCCATTCCCTTCCAACGGGATCCACCTTGTGATCCAGGTTTAGATGACGGATCCAGGTCATCAATCTGAATCACCTCGATTTCATTCTTTCCTGCCAGTTGCGACTGGATTATTTGACAATATATGGTGAACCTTGAGAATTTCAATGAATTCGTCACACGACATATTTGTGAGATGTTGTTTTGGATTTCGTTTTTCATTTTCATTCTTGTTTTTGTTTTTAGTTTTATTTTGTTAATTAGTTGGCTTTTTTTAATGTTTTTTTATTGTTATTATTTATTTTATTTTTATTGTTGCTGTGGGTAATTGTGAGCAAATGAATATGTATGTAGAGTTTTTTTTTTTAAAGATGCACACATGGATGTGGCAATTAGTTCATTTTAAAGAAAAATAAAATAAAATCAAAGAATAAAAAATCTTAATACAGAATTTTTAAGTAATATTTCTCTCTTGTGATTATATATATATATATATATATATACATGAAGTTGATAAATTCACATCCATATTTTGTTAATATCCCACCTTCCTTGCCATTTCATGATTAATTTAATCTATCCTTCATCCCAAGTCTTCAATCTCCATCCCATATTCTATACCTTATATTTCTAATCCTTGTTCCCGATCCGTGTTTTCCATCTTCTGTCAAGGACATGAATCTCTAAGAAAGAAAATCTTCAATACATTCTTGTGTCACTAAAAAGAATTAGAAAGTCACTCAAAGATGATATAATATTGAATTAGAATGGCTATTGCCAAAAACAAGAAAACTATAAAGTCTTGAAACAAGACTAAGGACTAAAAAGACATTGATAAGAGTGAAGAAGGCTTCACTCTTGCCTCCATATATACTCTTTATCTAAGAGCTATGTGGTGATGTCCTATAGGACCTTCAAAACGTGTTGACTTTGTAAGACACGTATCTTAACTTCAAAGACAAGTTTTATATGTACACCACATAGTTAGCTTGTTCTACAAGCTATCAACACATGGTTAACTTATTGACTACATTTCTAATCCATCAATCAACTACAAACATATGTAAAGTCAAAGCATTATCTATGAAGCTTTTAGAAAGCTTCTCTAGAAGGTATTATGAAATTTTATCTACTTTTACCTACTTCTATCTAATCATATAGGTATTTATTAGAATACTTATGTATATCCATGACATCTTCAATCTTCCATCCTCATTCTTAGTTTCCAATTCCTAGTCCATGTCCTCTATCTTTTGTTTTAAGTCCCTTGTTCCTAATCCATGTCTTCTATCCCTTGTTCTTGACATTTATTCTTTGTTTCAAACCTTCTTTATCTTGTTTTTTTTCTATATTTTTAGTCTCTTATTCCAAAGCCTTGTCATCCATGACAACTCTTATATTCTTGTTTCTTGTCCATATTTCTCCACTTCTAGTCCTTCTTTTTTATTCCAACTTCCATATTTCTATTTCTTCTTCTTTGTCCTTCATTCCTTGTCCCTATTCTTCATCTAAAACTTTCATGTCTCATATTTTATATGGGTGCACTATGCTTCAAAGTGTGACAATAAGTACAAAATCGATACCTTAATTTTGAGCACCTATATTTCCTTTATAAAAACTCCAAATCACATAAAGTTTTCAATAAAATTATATCCAAAATTTTAAAATTGATAAATTTTAATCTTTGATGTTCGAATGGCATCAAAAGAATAATCCTAATTCCTAATAAGATCTTAAGAAACCTCCTTGAAGTACATTTGGTATGAATTTTGGCCAATAAAAATAGATATTTTTACCATTCATCTCCATTCATCCATATAATTTGTATAACTACCTTTTTATGTAAAAATCTTTTTTAATTCTTTTTTTTATAAGTTTTATATAGTATGTGCCTTAAATACCAAATAAAAGAAATAAAATAAGATTTTAAGAATTATCAATTTCTAATAAATGTGGCTCTAAATATATAAAAACTACTATCAACATAAAATTAATGTCAATAATATCCCTTTTAAACTAACTACTTTAAAGTAAAAATTTAACCACATTTTGTAATCAATCAAAATCTAATAATATAGCTCTCACTAAATTGTATAATAAATTATATATTAAATATAAATGTGCATTATTTTCATATGATAGCCAAATCATAATACAACAATGTGATATGGCATTGGGTGCTAAATTCCATTAGATGTATATTATTTAGTTTGATTAGTGCTTTTTAATCCATTGATATTTTTTCCATTAGTTGATTTATTTATATTAATTAAGGTTTGAGTATTGAAGTAAAAAAAAAAAAACCTTTAACTTGACATTCTTGCCAAGTCAAGTCTTGTAAGTGATTTTGATAGGAAAAAAACTTATTATAAAGGTTTGTTTGGCTATAGTGATTTAGCCATTTTAATAAAACTTTAGGATTTTTCTTATTTTTATACTTGCACTCTTGGATTCTTCTTCTGTGGTATAAGAAATAACTTGACTTAATTTGATATAGATTTATAATCTTTTCTTTAAAAGTACATTGGATGTGTATTTGTATTTGATTTAAATTACATACTTTATGATTACTTTGTAGCACTTGATGTGTTATGTATAACAATATTTTATTTATATAATAAATTATAAATTACAATAATAATCTTGAATAACTATATTTTTTTATAAAATTATTTTGTGACTAAAATATTATTTATACTACATTGAAATCTTTTGATTGAAATTAAAAGTTAATATAACCTAATTTAATTTAAAAATTATTGAATTAATTGATTATATTATATGTACATATAGAATTTAAAATTTTTAAGTCTTTTAAAATATATATTATATATAAAATTCATAGCTAAAGGCTCGAAGTTTCATAATTAATTTTTTAAGTAAAAAATATGAATTGCATTAAATATAGATATTATTTTTTATAAAATTTATATGTCAATGAAGACATGTACTAAGAATAAGGAATGATAGACATAGAATGTTTGAAATGAGACTTGATTATCTCTAAGATCCAAGACTCTTCTAATCTATAGTAATATAAATCTTGTCATATATAGGATAGTATAGATCAAAAAAAAATTAAATAGAATTAAACAAAATGGAGTATGATAGGTAAAATAGAGCAAAAGAAAATAGAACAAAATTGAATAGAAAAGTACAAAACTAAACTTTACTAAGAAAAAGAGACTAAAGCCATACTTAACTAAATATCCAAATGGCCTTGGCCAGTCCTATTTATACTTTATTCAACCATCTTAAAAAAATTAAGAATGTTCTTAATAATGGATCCCATTTAAATAACCACCTTAAGCTCTTTTTAGAATATTTTATAATAAATCTCACATAAACTAATAATCTAGTTCTAATTCTAGAAACTTCTAAAAACTTCCTAAACATAGCTTGAACTACTTATCTCTATACATTAATAATACAAATATCTTATCCATACTTTATTATAATGAATCTCTCTCCATTAATGCAAAATATCATTGTTTTACTTTTGATGGTATCTCCAAATTATTTCTGACAATGGATGAGGTTATATGTAGATTTCTACATTATATATTTTTAGAGGACTTTATATTGAAGTTGTATATGTAGATTTCTACATTATATATGTAGATTTCTACATTGTATTCATGGATGGAATAATATTTTTAGAGGACTTTGTATTGAAGTTGTTGATCTCCATTACTAAGACAAAAGTAGCAATGCTCCAAAATATTGTCAACTTCATACTCTTGTTGGTCATCAATTACAACCGATAGTAATGGTGGTCATTTGTGTCAATCCAAACAGTGCCTAGGCTCAATATAAAACTCCTTGAGTTAAAAAATATGGAAGACTAGATGGATCAAAATATGTGGCAGATGCTCAAAGCGGTATGCAACATCCAAAATTATTACAAAAATGCAAAAAGGTTTAAGCCACTAAGGTGCCAACTTGCAGATTTGGATAGATGTAGCAAGTACCAAGTTGGCTTTAGAAAGTAATACTTAGTCACCTTCTCAAAAGATCTTATATTACTGGTAATTATATGCATATTATTTTTGTTGATTTTTTATGGTCAAGAAGTAGTGTCATATCTCCTACAAGGTTATTATAAGCCATTATATAAACTTTTCTATTTTTGGATTATTATTATCAATAGGACAATCAAAAATTACTAGCATAATTGTTAGGGACATATTCCTTAGAACTTTCTAGAGAGAAGTTTCTAGAACCTTCTAGAAAATAAGCCTTTGGAACCTTCTAGAAGAGAAGCCTCTAGAACCTTTTAGAGAGAAGTTTCTAGAAGCTTCTAGAATGGAAGTCTCTGGAACCTTCTAGAGGAGAAGTTTCTAGAAGCTTCTAGAAAGAAATCCCCTGAAACTTTCTAGAAGCTTCCTAATTAATAGAAGTAGCTCAAGAAGTTTCTAGAACCTTCTAGAAAGGAAGCCTCTGGAACCTTCTAGAAGCTTCCTAGTTAATAGAAAGTAGCTCGAGAAGCTTCCTAAATAGGAGTATATATAGGGATCGAAGCTGAAGAGTTCTTCAGTCTCGACAACATACCTCTTGGAGTTCTAGCTCACCTTTCTGGTGTTGTTCTTGTACTCATCTGTTTAATCTAGTTCTACCACTTCTTCTTGAACTTCTGGTTAGATTTCAAGTCTGTATTTTGTGTCCGTGACAGTTTGTCGAGACTACAGTAACTTGAGATATCAGAGCTAGTTCTTTCTTAGTAGAGTGTGGATTACCCCTCTAC